GCTAATAGCATCCTTTTCCGTCATGTTTTTAATATAGGAGACCTTACTATTGAAGAAAATACCGCTAGCCGTTATGGACTGATGTCAGATCTCTCCATTCACTGCAATTCTTGTGATGAAAGTACTCCTTGGCAGACATCACCCAACCTTGCCAAGAAAGGCAAATCATTTGATGTCAACCGGAGAGCTGTCTACCACTCAATAGAAACTGGAAGTGGCTACGACGGACTCTCTTCTTTCTGTGCGATAATGAACATGCCTTGTTTGTCAAGAGCTGCTTACTACAAGCAAGTTGATGTAATTTTGGAAGCACTGGAAAGTGAAGCAAAAGAAGAACTAAAAGGTGCAGGCCAAAGGCTCCGAAAGCTAATCATGGAGGAAAATGGCATCTCAGACAGCACCACAATAATTGATGCTGCTGTTAGCTTTGATGGCACTTGGGCCAAAAGAGGTTTCACATCACTAACAGGTGTTGTTTTCGTCATCTCAATTGACACAGGAGAAGTTTTAGACTATCACGTGATGTCTAAATCTTGCCGTAAGTGCTCCCTAAAGAACTCACAATGTGAAGGGAATGTGGAAGAGTTTGAAGAATGGAGGAGGGAGCATGTTGCATCTGGAGATTGTGACATCAACTTCGAAGGAAGTTCACCTGCTATGGAAGCAGAAGGAGCTTCTGTTCTTTGGAATAGATCCATCGAACTTCATAACATGAGGTACAAATGGATGGTGTCAGACGGGGACAGTAAGGCCTTTAACACTGTTCAACATGCCTATGATGACTGTGAAGTTATTAAACTGGATTGTGTAGGCCATGTGCAGAAAAGGATGGGCAAACATTTAATGAATTTGAAGGCATGCAGTAAGGGTAAACTTGCTGATGGAAAACCTATAGGAGGGCGTGGCCGGCTTACAGAAGGAAAGATCAAGCAGCTTCAAAGGTACTATGGCCTAGCAATCCGGCAAAACACCTTGACCAAGGCAAATCCCTCTGAACGGGAGGTTGACATTGCAGTTTATGCTATGAAAAAAAATATTATTGCCATTCTCCATCACTGTGTAAATTCAACTGACAATGCTAAACAACACCGCTTCTGTCCACCAGGTGATTCATCATGGTGCAAATGGCAACAGGACCAGGCAACAGGAACCAGTACCTACAAAGGAGATGACTGTTTGCCCGAAGTCTTCGTGGAGACTCTAAAACCCACATTTGTGTCATTAAGTGACAGTAAACTTTTAGAAAGATGTGTACGAGGAAAAACCCAGAACCCAAATGAAAGCATCAACGCAATGGTTTGGGTCCGGTGTCCCAAACATAAACACCATGGAGTGAAAGTTGTCCAGTGTGCTGCTGCGTCTGCAGTCTGCCACTTCCACAGAGGTGCAGAAAGCAGAGAAAGATTGATGGAAAGGCTTTCAATTCCTGGAGGTGCATTTACTGAGGATGCATTTCGACTAAGAGATAATTCAAGGCTTCGGAAAGCTGATAAGCAGGCAACGGCCAAGGAGAAGAAGCGCCGGCAGGGATTGCAGCTTATCCGTACTCAAAGAGAAGCGGCTCTTCGTGAAAAAGAAGATGTTTCATATGAAGCTGGGGCATTCTAACTCTTGCTCTTGCCTATCCTAATTATATTTGAACTTATGGCTACTCATTGACTTCATAATTTGAATACAGGAGGTGTTTAATTTTAAAATCTTGTAACTTTAGGCCTTTTTTTCTCAAAACGTATTTTTTAATACTTGAGAAAAGATTA